GGAAATGCGGTCTTTTTTTCCCCCCAAAAGCAAAAATTTTCATTTAAAGGAGAATTCACTGCGATGTGCTATTTTGTGCTGGGCCAATGCAGAAGCTATAGGAAAAAGCTGTTTGACTAATGGTCTAATGTCTTTAACAACAAAAAAGGGACTAAAAGCCATCAAAGCACGGGAACCTGCCCAAGCAGCTTTCGCGATTGTTCCTTGACTAAAAAAACCAACTTGATTACTTGGATAAAGAACGTTTGTGGTAGGTGTGCGTGTTTGAGTGTGACCAGTAAAAACCATAAGGCAATAATTACTGTAAATTATTTGCAGGAAGGAATTCAAGCCACTTTCTTTCAGGAATCTGTGCCAGGTGTTAAAGGCATCCTACGGTTTTGGAAGAACACTTTCCCCTTAAATTTTTGCGTGTTGCGAAGAAGACCTGTGTGTGTTGTGTGTGTGTGTGTTGTGGTAGGTGTGTGTGTGTGTTGTGTTGGCCGTTGCCTATGTGTGTTCGTAACTGGAGCGCCACGGAGCACACAATACAAGACTCTTTTTCTGGTTGTTTTGCAAGTCTTGCGTGAAAAAAACTCTTTTTGTGACCTTTTAAAAATTGGCTCTTTAATAAAAAAAATGTTCTCGCCAGGAAGACTGAAAGACGAACTGAAACCAAGATTGTATGTTGTGTGTGTGTATGTGAGACAGAGAGAGAGAGAGAGAGAGTAGAAGAGATAGATACAGACAGACAAAGACCTCATTAGGTCTAGGAGGTGTCCTGTCTAGACAGTGTGATGACAGGACACAGAACCTCTGTTTAATGTTTCCTCCTCCTCCTTCTGCTTCCAATTCACCCAGCATACACACACACACATCACCTGCTCTGCCTCCGGGGATGCGCACACACACGCATACACACGCAGTTGCTTAATGTCAAGCAAAATGTTAAGGACCTATAGAAGTATTTAAGTGCTTTAAGTCATTGTCAGTCCACAACGTGCAACTTGTTTGTTGCTGGATTGTTGTGAAAGTACCAAGTACCGTTTTTTTTGTGCTGGCTTGTGTTTGTTTAATATGACACATGCCCAAGGTTAACAGTCCATGAAGTGTTTAAAACATGGATTCCATGAGCTGCCTCGTACGACACGGTAGAAATCAACCATTTCCTTTCATAGTTTTATCCGCAAAACGACTATTTTCCTGTGTTCTGGGTTCAGTGCTAGAGCCAACAAAGTATCTTGAGGAAACTCACCATTCACTGGACCTTTGCCAGCGAGAGTCTTTTTTTTTATTGAGTTTGTTGCTCAAATCCATCTTAACCACTAAATCTGTGTTATAAATCAGGAGTAAGTGAATGGGGATTTTGAGTCCAAGATAAACTGAAAAAGCTGATAAATGACCGTCTCTGTCAGCCCAGTATGGTGTCTTCAGTCCTGCTTCTGGTACTTTGGAATTTGATCAGTCGGTTGCCTCTCTAACACACAACCAGGCACACAGGTACACACATCATTTTATCTCAAACATGTCTTTGCACAGTATTTTCATAATATTTCATCCGTATTGACAGGATTTCTGCTTGGTAGGAAAACACATTTAGAATGGTTGCCAGTAATATTAAAGAAAAGTCTAAAGTTTTAATGAATGGGCAATAACGTGCCAAAACACCAGCATGGCCCTTTAATATGCTATAAAACAACTTATATAAACTAACAATATGATGTTTTGTTTTAGCTGTACGAGAGTGAGGTGCTGTATGTCGTCTGAATGCTACCCAGCTGTGTGTGTGTGTGTTTGGTGGTGGTATGTGTAGCTTTGATGCTGCTTCTCACTCTTCACATGCAGATAAGATAGGGTCTGGCAGCAGCAGCAGTAGCAGAGACACAGATATGGACACCTTTGGGCCTTATCACCAGGACCATCACAGTCTGAAGGGGCCACGAAGACATAACACAGGTTAGGGTGAAAGGGATCATGGGAGGAAGAAGAGGAAATAAGGATTTTAAAGAATTCCCTTTGCTGTTCATGTAGAGCTTCCTAGCACGCATTCAGCTGCGCTCTGGTTGTGTATAGCATATGTAGTACTGTAACAGGACATTTTCATAATTGGTACCGTTTGAAGGTGCATACCTATGATGCAGCTGGTTTAAATTTTAACTGTTTAGTTATACAATCAATTAAAATACTTTAGAGTCTACTTCCATAGTGTCTGAAGGAGATCAGAGCACTGCTCCTCTGTAGGTGCTGTGCGTCTTTGCTTGCTGTTTCCCACTCCATCGTCAGGGGTCGTGCCTCAACTGGGCAACACTTGCTCTGCTGCAGAGTGGACACACACGCACCTATTGATTTTGGATGTGTAAAGATGTAACCCATGCTCCACCATAGCAGAGTTTATTTTTAAAGTGCCGGCTTTTTCTGATTAGAGGAGTAAATTACTTCAGGCTGCAACATGCGACGCGCAACTATCCAAACATTATAAAACAAAAAGTGTAACCCTAAATGTTACGGGCCAATCTGGAGTTATACACCAATATGAGTAAAAACATACAAAAGTGGCAACAAAAAATGTCAAACTGTGCTTATGAAGAAGCCATTTCATCACACAGAGGATGTAAAAGACCGAAACAGGAACATTATGAGCAATACAAATGCGACTCTTTATTAGAGTAGACCGGCTGCTATTCTGCTGCGAACAAAATATGGAAATACGATGTTAGAGTCGTCCTTGTAGCTTGAAGAGCTCCACCTCTGGATAAGTGCGCACGGAGTGGGCGGTTTCTGAACACACACGGACGCACACACACACGCTTACACGCGCGCGCACGCATATTATGGACTGCAACCTGCGGATTCCTGTTAGACTCTCATACACACGCCTGTAGGAGTGGGTGCCCGTCAGCGAAACCACTTCCAACTGTTAAAGGGCGGCTTTTTGTCAGTGCGCAACGCTGGGAACGGTTTTATGTTGAAGAGCAAACATACCCGCTTAAGTAAAATGGCTTCTTTCAAAGGACTTATTGATTTATTGGTGAATTTCGTATCAAACGCTGTCTTTTGACCGACTTACCGGAGCGCTCAGAATAAAGTTTCACATGGTGCACTTTATCCTGAAGCAGCACAGCGCGCTACGGGAATCAGAAATGAAAGCAGGACCGACTCTATTTTGCGCATTTCTCTTTAGAAAGTATTTCAAATGGCTTGATACACGAGCCTTTCCTCGCTTCTGATCTGCGGCTGCGACCGATAACAGCGCGCTCGGGCGGACTTTGGTTACCATTACGCACATTTTTACATTTGGATAGGCGACTGAAGCTCCCAGCCAGACACACTTGGGACTCCGGAGAGCACAGCGGGATAACACCATGACCAGCTGCTGGCTTGCCTTGGTCGGATTGTGGTGGAGCGCTTATTACTGCATGTTCCTGGTCGCGGGGAGTAATTATTCACTGGATGGAAACAACGAAGTGCACCCGGGTTTCATCCACCGGCGGTTGCGGACGCACGAGAAGAGGGAGATGCAGAAGGAGATCCTGTCCATCCTCGGGCTGCCGCACAGACCGAGACCGCATCTGTCACACGGAAAGTACAACTCCGCTCCACTGTTCATGTTGGACTTATACAACACCATATCTAGCGAGGAGAAAAGCCAAGTGCAAGGCATGCTGGACAGATATCAGACCATGCGGACGACCCAGAGTCCTCTTCTGGCCACATATCAAGAAACTGCCTTTCTAAATGACGCAGATATGGTGATGAGCTTCGTTAATCTAGGTAAGTTACTCGAACTCGTTGTATTCACCGATGATTTGTTCTGTGCGTAATTGCGCTCCTGTGGGACGTTTTTTGTTGGAACGAAGAGTCAAATAGAATATCTAATTTCACGAGATTGAATATCTAAACCTGCGAGATTGAATTAAGGCTGAACAGGTGTTTGGCACAAGCAAAGTTGAAGCGAAAGGGTCGCTGGGAAAAATCCTACACAACAAAATCTTGTACATTTTATGGAAATATGTTTCCTAAAAATAAAGCATGAATTAGGTCGGCTTATCTTAAGATATATATATATATATATATATATTTCACATTTGATCCATGTTGAGG